TATATTCATGACTTCAAAATTTCTCCTTCCCCCAGTCCTGGGCAACCTATAGTTGACTTCTGTGTCTGTAGTGTCCCTGTGGTCTGGACATTCCTATTAATGAATCGTATATGATCTTTTGTGTGTAGCCTTCCTTCACTGAGCATAATGTTTCAAGGTTGTTCATGCTGTGTCCTTTTGGGGTGAAGAAAATATTCTAAAATTAATTTTAGTGGTGGTTGAACTTGTCTAAGAATATACTACCAGTGACTTACATACTTTAAAAGGGTGAATTGTATGTGAAGTATATAAAGCTGTTTTTAAAACAATTTTTTTTTTTTAAGATGGAGTCTCATTCTGTCACCCAGGCTGGAGTGCAGTGGTGCAATCTCAGCTCACTGCAACCTCTACCTCCTGGGTTCAAGCGATTCTCCTGCCTCAGCCTCCTGAGTAGCTGGGATTAGAGGTGCACCACCATGCCCAGCTAATTTTTGTATTTTTAGTAGAGATGGGGTTTCACCATGTTGACCGGGCTGGTCTCGAACTCCTGAACCTCAAGTGATCAGCCTGCCTCAGCCTCCCTAAGTGCTGGGATTACAGCCATGAGCCACCACACCTGGTGAACAAATTTTTAAGGAAAAGAAGAAAGGCAAATTATTGACCTCGGCTTTCACCTTAACAAACTAGAAAAATAAGACCAAATGAAACCTGAAACAAAAAGGAGAAAAGAAATAATAAAAATCAGAGTTGAAATCAATGAAACAGAACAGAAAATAATAGAGAACATCAATGAAAGGGAATGTTAGTTCTTGAGAAAATTGTTAAATTTATAAATTCTAGTTAGATTGATCAGGAACAAAAGAGAAAATAACAATGACCATTATCATAAATGAAATGGATAACTTTATTACAGATTCTACAGATATTTTTAAAGTCTGAGGCACACACCTTTAATATAAAAACAGTTTTTAGTTCTGTCTAGGGAGGTAAGATCTCAGGAAAAAGAAACGAAACATCAATAAAAGCACTTTTGCTCTGTTTTACAAAATTGAAAATCAATCCTGTGCCTTGTCCGGGTTGTTTTAGGTACGCGAGTGTAAAACTGTATGGTACCCACTGTAATAGATGAAGTCCAGCTTTACACTGTATTCTGATCATGTGCTTATGGTTTCATCTGTGGGGTCCCCAGGACCCCTGCACACCGTAGGTGTGCACTAAACGTTGAGTAAGTCAAGACAGTTGGCACTGTCTTCCTAATGTGCACTAGACTTCTGTAATGACACAAAAGTCACCACCTGGAATCCACGTGGGTTTCTGTGTCCTCCACCAAATGTTCACCAAGCACTCCTCTGTGCAAGGCCTGAAACAACACAGAGGACAGAGATTTGGGACTTTGAGTTAAAATGGGAGTTAGATGAGATTTTGGACTTAGAGTTGACCCTAGAAGACTTAAGACCTTGGGGAACGTTAGGATGGGGTGAAGGCATTTCGCCTGGGGGAAGGACATGAATGTGGAGGAACCCGAGTGTGGACTGTTATGGGTTGACCAGGATCCTCAAAAACGATGTTAAAGTCCTAACTCTCGCTACCTGTCCTTCTGGCCGTATTTGGGAATGGGGCTGTGCAGACGTCATGAGTTAAGATGAGATCACACTGGAGATCATGGTAGGCCCTAAGCCAATACGAGGGGTGTCGTTATGAGCAGAGGGAAATCCGAACACAATACAGGGAAAGGGAAAAGCTTTCTGGTGTTTTATTTACTTGTATTAGCTTCTAAGGCTGCTGTTAACAAAGTACCACCAACTGGGTGGCTTCAACAACAGAAATTTATCGTCTCACAGTTTTGGAGGCTGCAAGTTCCAAATCAAGATGCTGGCAGCGGGGGTTCCTTCTAGGGGCGCCGAAATCTGTCGCGAGGCTTCTCTTCCAGCTTCTGGAGGCGGTTTTTGCTCACAAGCCTGGGTAGTCTTTGGCTTGTGAAAGCATCTCCCCAGTTTCTGCCTTCATCTTCATGTGGCGCTCTCCCGGCGTGTGTCTCTCCAAATCGCTCCTCTTTATTTTATTTTTTTTTTTTTTGAGACGGAGTCTCGCTCTGTCGCCCAAGCTGGAGTGCAGTGGCGCGATTCTGGCTCACTGCAAGCTCCGCCTCCTGGGTTCACGCCATTCTCCTGCCTCAGCCTCCCGAGTAGCTGGAACTACATGCGCCCGCCACCGCGCCCGGCTCATTTTTTGTATTTTTAGTAGAGACGGGGTTTCACCATGGTCTCGATCTCCTGACCTTGTGATCCGCCCGCCTCGGCCTCCCAAAGTGCTGGGATTACAGGCGTGAGCCACCGCGCCCGGCCATCGCTCCTCTTTATAAGGACACCAGTCCTGCTGGATTAAGGCCCACCCTAATGATTTCATTTTCAGTTGACTGTCTCAGCAAAGGCCCCATCTCCAAATCAGGTCACATTCTGGGATGCTGGGAGTTTGAATTTCAACATATGAATTTTGGGGGACAAAATTCAACTTGTCTCCCCAGTTCAGGTGGCCAGAATTGGTTTATTTCCCATCTTAATTGTAGATTTACAATGTAAATGAGCCATAAATTGTGCCAATTTTGTTTTGGGGAGAAGCATTTAATTTGTTGGTCTTATATATTTTACTACTTACAAGAAATTAAAATTGCCTAAGTACGAGTTGTCAAAGAGGTTTAATTGGCTTCCATTCCTGGCTCTCTGCCCAGATTCTCCTAAACACATCCATTCCTGTTTCTGGCAGAACTTTTGCAAACCCATCCCAGGTATGTTTTTACAGTATTAATTTTTTTAATTGCAGCAAACTATATCTAACATAAAATTTGCCATCTTAGCCACTTTTAGGTGCACGGTTCAGGGGCATTAAGCACACTCACATTGCTATCCATCTCCAGAACGTTCTCGTCTTCCCAAACAGAAACTCTGTCCCCATTAAACACTAACTCCCGGCCGCCCTCCCCCAGCCCTGACACCCACCATTCTACTTTCTGTCTCTATGTAAGACCTGCCTAGTCTGGATATTTCATACCAGCGGAACCACACAATCGTTGCCCTTTTGTGTCGGGCTTATTTCACTGAGTGTAATCTCCTCAAGGCTCATCCATGTTGCAGAATGTGTCAGAATTTCATTCTTTTTTAAGGCTGAATAATATTCCATTGTACGTCTAGACCACGTTTTGCGTGTCCGTTCATCACTGCTGGCCATCCGGGTTGTTTTCACCTCCTGGACAGTGTGAACCGTGCTGTCGTGAACACTGGCAAAGATGTGTCTGCTCAAGTCCCTACTTTCAGCTCCTTTGGGTAGATGCCCAGGAGTACAATGGCCCATCAAAAACGAAACAGCAATTTTAACGTTCAGATGTCTTTAGCATGGTACACTTGGATTTCACCTGATTATCTAATAAATTAGTGCAGACCAAAAAAATCTCCTCATTGATTTCTAACATGAGTCTCTTCAAACCTCAGGCCTGTTTCTTGGAGAAACTGATTCAGGGCTGCCAGGCCTCGCTCCTGCATCTTTCCCGGCTTTGCTCGGCTCTGTCATTTCTCAGTTAGGGAGGCACAAGGTCAAAACGACGACAGCCCGGATGCTTCTAAATGAGGTAGCTCCTGAGGACTCCCACGCCGCAGGTTTACAATCCAGCTGTTCCACCAATATCACAACCAGCTCACACTTCCTGCGTGCAGACTGTGTTCAGCGGGGATAAAAGCTCTGCTAGAATGTGTTGAGAAAAGAATCCTGGGGTTAAACACGAGCAGCCGAAAAATCAGAGAGGGAAATCAGATGTCGCTTATATTTGAAAAATAACACTAGGATTGAGGCTTCCAGTGCCAAGGCATGCACACTCATGCGTGCACACACACACATGCAGAGACACACATACACAGAGACACACACGTGCACACAGAGGAAAGGGCTCCTCGTGGGAGTGAAGATGAGGGCCGAACCATGGAGCAGGAGGAGCAAAAGCATCGTGTTCTCTGCCCTCTGGGAGCTTAGTGTCTAGCACCGGGGACGCCGCCGGGTGGCAAGGCCACCACCATGCCTGGCTGTGGCTGAGACAGAGCTTAGTGTCTAGCACCGGGGATGCCGCCAGGTGGCAAGGCCACCACCATGCCTGGCTGTGGCTGAGACAGCCATTGGGCTCCCCCAGCAGTGCGGGGGCTGTGGCCAGCTCTGGCCAGTGGGCCTTGAGTGCTGGCAACATGTGCTCCTTCTATGAAAGTGTCCTCTCCTCAGAGGCACCTGTTGCAATGGCCACCCTGTCTACTGGGTCCTGGGTGACCACCCCCACAGACACAAACAGGAGCAACAAATAAACTGCAGTGGGAGTGAGCTGTGAAGACGCTGTACCCTGCCTAAAGTGGCAACGAGCCCCAGTGGTCCTCCCTGGCACACCGGGCACTGTCTCACTTCCAGGAGCATCTCCCATGTTTGCAAGTGGGGGTGAAAATCCTCATGACAATGTGGGGACAAAGGGGTGGCCATGGCCACAGCCGGCGTCATGGCACTCCCCTTCCTGCCCCCGAGACCACACACCGTGGGAGGCTAGAAAACTCCTCCGAGAGCCTGCCAGCTGCGCGAGGACTGCCCCTCCGTGTGGCCGGGATGCACCGTCATCATGGGTGGGGATGTGCTTGCACTTTCTCTTTTTCTTTTTCTTTTTTTTTTTTGAGATAGAGTTTCACTGTTGTCACCCAGGCTGGAGCACAATGGCACGATCTCAGCTTCTCAGCTCACTGCAACCTCCACCTCCCAAGTTCAAGCAATTCTCCTGCCTCAACCTCTTGAGTAGCTGGGATTACAGGTGCCCGCCACCACATCCGGCTAATTTTTTGTTGTTGTTGTATTTTTAGTAGAGACGGGGTTTCACCATGTTGGCCAGGCTGGTCTCAAACTCCTGACCTCAGGTGATCCACGTGCCTCAGCCTCCCAAAGTGCTGGGATTACAAGCGTGAGCCACTGCCCCAGTCAGGGCTTGCACTTCTCAACAGCTTGCGGTCATGTGGCTGCTGCCGAGAAAGAGATTCTGTAAAAGGAAGCCAAACTCAAGGGCGAGCGCCTGCCCTTGCCTTTGGAATTTTCCTCTGAAGGATGACTGTGTCGTTATGTTGACGAGGTTTAAGGTCAGGGCGATTTTTCCAGGTGGAAGCCCCCTTGGACATTATGCTGCGTTTTAAGGGGGAACAGTCTTATAGAAAGCGCAAAGTGAAACCACTTCGTGTGGGGTTTCCAAAGCCTGTTCAGCTCTGTCCCCCGATCGTTGTTCTGTTTAGCTTGGTGTGGATATCCTGGTAATTGGTTTTAAAGGTCAGGCCCGAGTCTTCATGACATGCTAGTGAGGTGCTGCATTCTCCAGCGTGCAAGCTTTTTCTCAGATAAAATGTCTTTCCTCTCTTACAGTTGGATGCAGCAACATCAGAGGGTGATTACCCCGAATTGCCACAGAGGTTTCCAGCGCTGGAAGGAAATTTGGAGATCAAGGCCGAGTTGGCCTCAGCCAAGTGAAATGGGAATCAGGACCATTACGAAGAAATTCAATTAAAAAAAAAGGCACATCATAAACTTTGACTGGAAAACTCCAAATGCAACTAATATTACCTTGGTCAAATTACCTAGATAATTACTTTCATTTTTCATTGCATATTGATAGAAAGGACCAAGCTACTTTAAAGTGAGTCCCAAAATGTAATCATTTCATCTTCTCAATGACTCCTAAAACCCTCTCCAAATGACCAGATGCATTAGCTAGCTACTGCCACATAACAAATTACCCCAAAACCTAACAGCTCAAAACAACAATAAACGTCCTCCCCAACTTTTGATATTTGCTGTCTTTTTCATTTCAGGCTTGGGCGGGGCGGGGGTGTAGTGATTTCACCTTGCTGTTTTAATTTGCATCTTCCTAATGACCAGCACAAGTGAACACTTCTTCCATGATGGCTGACAATTTAGCTATCCTCTTCTGTGAAGTATCCCCACGGGGTTGTCTCTCTTTTCCTTCATAAGCTCTAGTTCTCTGTATTGGCTGAATACAAGTCCTGTTTGGGATATGCATATATATTGCAACTATCCTTCCCACTCTCTTGACAGTGTCTGCTGATGAACAGAACTTCTTGCTTTCAATACAGTTCAATGTATCAATTTCTCGGTTAGCATTTTTGAGCACTGTTTTAAGAAATCTTTTAGGCCGGGCATGATGGCTCACGCCTGTAATCCCAGCACTTTGGGAGGCCAAGGCAGGCAGACCACAAGGTCAGGAGTTTGAGACCAGCCTGGCCAACATGGTGAAACCCCGTCTCTACTAAAAATACAAAAAATTAGCTGGGGGTGGTGGCGGGTGCCTGTAATCCCAGCTACTTGGGAGGCTGAGACCTGAGAATCGCTTGAACCCGGGAGTGCGGAGGTTGCCATAAGCCAAGACCACACCATCACACGCCAGCCTGGTGGCAGAGTGAGACTCCGTCTCAAAAAAAAAAAAAAAGAAAAAGAAATCTTTATTTCCTCCAAGGATACAAAGACGTCCTCCTATATTTTCCTCTAAAAGCTTGATTTGTTTTCACTTTTCACACTTAGCTCTGCAGTCCATATGGAATGGGTTTTTTGGTATGGTGGGAGGTGGATCAAGACAAACCTTTCCCATACAAATCTCTAGTTCACCCAGAATTATTTATCAAAAAGACCATTCCCCCCTTCCCCCCATGAGATAGGCTTCCTGT